AAAGTAGCCGATTTCATCCACAATTGGACTCCGAAACTGGGAAGTTCTGAATATATCTGGTAATCGATCATCATTTTTGGTACCTGGGCATATTATTTCATTAAAAAAAGTTATATTTTTCAAAGTCCCGGACTTTGTCTATGGAAGTTCGCAGGGCTGTGGTGGGGACATCTATCAACCGAACGCGTCCCCATACACACAGCACTGTACGCAGGGCTAAGTCATACCCACTCTTTATCCGTGGAATAAGGGGCTTGGCGCTTCTATGTCTTTCGAGTTGTTTTCTATTACATTTATACCAACACAGTTATGCCCACTGTACCCATGAAATAAGAGATTTGACGCCCCTGTGCCTTTCACTTTGTTTTCCAACCCATGTATTCACATTGCATTGCCAACTTTATCCCTGGAATATGGATTTTGACGCACCTGTGCGTTTGAGTTTTTTTGTTAACCCATGTACCAACAGAGTAATAAGGGGTTGAACATACCTGTGCCTTTAAGTTCGTTTGCTAACCCATGTACCAACACAGTCATACCCACTTTACCCATGGAATAAGGAGTTTTTCCTTTGAAAAATCTAGAATATATTGGAGGGGCCACCAATAGGATTTTGCCGGACCCCTGCTTTAAAAATAACGGCAGTAACTCTTGCACTAAACAGTACGCTCCCCTTGGGTTGACCTGGTGCATCAGATCGAATTTCTTCAACGGTGTGTCCATCACTTTCTTCCATGTTATGGCACCGGCATTGTAAATGACGTAATCCAGTTTGCCGAATTGTTTGATACACGTGTCGACGGCCTCTTTGATGTCTTGCTCGTGTCTTACATTGCAAACTATCGGTATTGCATGCCCACCAGTTGCCTGGATCTCATTCACGACGCTGTGTATTGTTCCCGGCAGTTTGGCAGACTCTTCTGTTGTTTTTGCGGCCACCCCGACTTGATAGCCATTCTTTGCTAGTGTGATGGCGATCTGTCGGCCAATTCCACGACTTGCCCCTACTACAAGCGCGTTCAACATGACTTCCGCCTAAACTAACCTGACCTGAGTGAAACATACACAAGTGAGTGCTCATACATGTAAACAGACATACAAACGCTGTAGTACAGAGAACAATTATTTCCGGGATCAAAGATTACGGATTGTAAGGGTTTAGTTGGTTAATAAAGTTTATTTGTGAAAAGTCCAGTATGCTAGTTTCAATAATTATTATTGTCAATATATGTATCAATTTTCAAAAGTGCGAAATGTGGGCAAATAATTGTCTACTTGTTTCAATACAACTCGGAATTGCCTTGCTAGACTAATAGAACAGTTCATCATTTCAATGGTTCATAGACCACAATATTTAACACTCCCTCCAGGCTGAAATTTTATTTCTATGATTATAAAAAAATATGGTTTTAATTGTACTAACTAAACACGCCACTTTCAGCAATCTGCTCTATTTTGACGTCACGAACCCTCTTTAGAGGACGTGGTTTTATATAAAAACGCACTGACACTATGTACGTATATAGTGCAGTGGGCAAGTAAGTCAATCGTCCACTTTTTTTGGAAAAAACATGATATGACACATTCTTAAGGTAGAAGCCTACTCATAATTTCAAAAACCCAGAATTTATTCATTTTTCAATAAATTGTACAACTGGGCAATATAAGGATATTGACTTTCAGAAAATGATGATTTTATTTTAGTGGATATTGGCCATTTTGGCAGTATTATAGTGCTTTTACCATGGGTTTTTTTGACAGAGATATTATGCCATATCTCAATTTGTAACCTGGTGGCATAGGCTGAAAAAATTGTATAATGATGGGATACTTTTTGTTGCCCTCAATTATTTCAAAAGTCTGGATTTTAAAAAGTGTCAAAAAATGCATTTTTTTCTTCAAAACAGTGTTCTATGGAATTGTTCTAAAAATAGCATTTTTTTGCAAAATAATAGGACAAGTTTATCAAAATACGTCACTGTAACACACTAAAGAATGCATTATGACCAATTTTCTCAAAAATTATGAGTAGGCTTTAGAGGCATTGCCAGTTGTTGATTTTTTTCAAATGTGTCTGTCCCACCAGGATAACTCTGCCACGTTTGCCATGCTGATTTCTTTCCGTGGTTTGCAAAGACGCCGGAACAATGTGTCACACCCAATGAAGGCATGAATGGGTTAAACTGGATGCGTCTTATATTTCTTAATATTTACAAAAAACAGAATTTTTTGGGACGAAAATGATTTAGTATCTGGTTAATATCGGAGATTCGTCTGCATTGGACGAATGGTAATTCTGATAGCAGAATGTAAAAACGATCAATTATTGAACAGATGAAGCTAAATCAATATATTCACATTTTTGACAATTCCTTTACATTGTCCACAGTAGTGACGGGCCTTTTTGTATTTTTTACGATTTTTTGTGTACAAGAGGGCTTTCAGTGTTTCTCGGAAACTGGAATGTAAATGTCAAAAAAAAAAAACATCGGCATCGAGCCATTGTGTGAATAATTCATGTGCCGTATTAATCAACATTAGCCGTGAGTTAGAAAACTAGCGCCGTATATAGAGACTGTTGTTCGTCACTGAGAGATATTTTAATTATATTTTAAATTTAATTTTATTTAGTCATATAACACTTGATAGTTGAAACACAATATATATTGCGTAATTCAAACGGAGCACAATGACCGCAAAACGAATATCGCAAATTCGTGAATCCGTGGCTGACTCGCTGTAATCGTTCTAAGCATGCGCACATTAGTCGTTCAATATGGCGGATGACTCGAAAGGTAATTATTTTCCCCACTTTATTCACACATGCTTTCCTGATTTGCCACTGCAAGGAACTTTGTTTTAAAGAGATAGTTACCATTGCACATATACCATGTTTTTATACGGCCGATTGCAGTATGCACTAAATTTTTAGCGAATGCAGTTTCTTTGTTGTTAATTACATCGCATCATTTCTTCTACATTCATGTGTATTTCAATGGCGTCCGTATTCCAACATGCGTTTTGAAAATGAAAGCTCTGGTCTCATAGTTTCGCACACTTGAGCCCCAAACCAAGCAAAGCCATTACCCCGTTCGTCCTGTAAGATTTAAAAGCGTATGCACAGTATACAGTCATCAATAGTCTGTTTTATTCACGATGGTACAGTTTATAAAAAGCCAAATACTAGACATTTCGAGGTGATTTTATATTCTGTAAAACATGCCAGCGAGATTATATTCACATCTTTGTGTGCAAACTGATTACCCTGATGCTATCAGTGGCAATAAATAATGTGTTATAAAAATGATTAGAAAAGAAATGAAATTCATTTTTAATACACTCTAATCTGAAAAGGCATGTGCGTTATTTGTTTTTGAACCTGGCTCAAATAGCAGTTATACATTGTGTCAGCTCATATATTTATTTGAATAAACACTCCTTTGAATTTCTTCTTTCAAAATCTCAAAAAAATATTGATTGGTCAAAAATTGTTCTTTATCTATGTCTAATGACAAATCTTACTCAAAGAGCTAAAGGACAATCTCACATGTAGCCCTGAGTACAGTCCTGTAGGTTGGCCTCCTTCCGCTGATCAATCGGCCCCCACAGTCCTGAGAAGTCGCATAGACCGGGCATTCGATACTATTGTGAAAGAGTGTATTGGGCGATTTAAGAGGCATTCAGCTTTGCAGTTAAAATAAGCAGGTCGATACTTTTTCATCAGATTCACTAAACGAAAATGCACAATCCTAGGTTGAAACATGTCCCACATCTTGTAAATATCATGTTATCCATTCCTTATTTGGAATTAACATTTCCTAATAAGGTAGAATGCGGAATATTTGTAGAGATACAGAGACAGATTTCTACGGTGGTGTTCATTCAAGCAGTTACCGCAACTCAGAAATGATTTTCAAGAGTTGGTGAGTGCTTATTTGACCAACGCCCCTCAAAATATCGTAAAAATCTAGATTTGTTATTATCTATGTGATACATTGGTGCATATTTAATACTTTTCTTAAAACACTTCTGAAAAAATATTTATCACCTTTCATTATAATAACCAGTCATTATTATACATTCACCACTGAAAACAATAGAATTTTGCTATTATTACAAGCAAAAAAAACGAGCACTGAATACTACAAAGTATGTACTCAAGCAGTATGGGTTGCATCTATCTTGGTGACATGTCGGTCGATATACTGGCTTAGTGCTTATATTTGTGGTATTCTTGTGATAACCTCATATTATCAAATCATAGTTTACGCATTCATGATAATCATAATAGACAGTGTATATAGATTGAGCAAATATAGTGCATGTGCAGAATTGCCACACAGGTACATAACAAAAATTGAGCATACTAGAATCATGATGCATATTCGGTTTTATTACAGCAATATTTCCTATTTCAACACTCTCCTTTTTTCACTTTTTTGGACTGGATATATGCATGTGATAAATGTACCGTATTTATCCAGGTATGCGCCCAGGTTCCTGAACATGGAAAATTGTCAAAAAGTAAGGGTGCGCATTTGCCCGGCCGTCCCTCTGCAAAAAAAAACCCAAAATCCCCAAAAATTGAGAACACGCAGAGTGAACTACGACAGGGAATATAATGTCAAATGAAGACATGGAATGGAAATAAATGAACAATATGCAGCATAAGAAGTGTAACAAGAAATAATTTATTGCTTAGAATGTGACAAATAAACCAGAAATAATAAAAATCGACAGTGAAGAATCATTTGAATTAGGATTTCCCCGCCGACAAACACACCCAATACATGTGAACTTAAAATGAATTAAAATGTCAGATCAACAAATTACAAAAGTTCATAGTTGTTGGGAAAAAAACATCTCAGTTCTCTATTTGTACATTCATTGCTATCTTCGTAAAAGTCAAAACCCTCAAAGTCCAAGTCGGCGTCACTGTCGCCCTCAAACAAAATCCCTACAGCTTCGTCTTGAAGTTCGTTGATGCCGTCCCACACAATTTGGGCTTAGCACATTTAATCCACTGATTTTGCTGTCTGTCTGCTTGGCACTTTTAATTCACATCTAATCCGAATAAAGAGACAAGAAAAATTGGGTAGCAGCAAACGGCTTGCACGATGCTTTTGTTTACCCTCTGGAAATTATCTTTGACCTTAGGCATTCGC